GTTTTGAAAGCTGACTTGTGGGCCAGTTGGGGACTGGACTCAAACTGTACGTACTGCAGGGTGGTGTGGTAGATGTGTTTGCATTAGGAAAGTGTGATGTGCTGGAGAAGGTACTGAGTTCTGGTGTTACCTTAGCTACTGTGAGGATTGCTTTGACTTTCTGTAACAATTTCCATGCAGTAGAAAGGAAGCACTAGTGCTTGTGGCACAGGGGTGGCGTGAAGATCAACTGCTTAGTTTTTACAAAGAGCTTTGAACATGATAAATGTTATGTAAATCAGTAAATGCTGACAGACATCATCCATCTGGGACTGATCATGAGAAATAATAAATTAACTAATTTTTCAGGCTTTAGAGGGTAAAAGGAGCATATAAAACATACAGAGCTGTGCAGGTGGCAGAGTAATTGCATTTGTGAAGTCACCTAAGATGAAGTCACATGTGAAATGGGGTTAAGATTCTCTGTGTATAAGCGTTTGCCCATTACAGCATCTCAGTGTTTGATGCACTTATCCCCAGCTATTTAGTGACCATCTGAAGAGCTGTGTAGGAGCTCTGTTTGGCAGTGACACCTTCAGCATGGGCAGAGTGCTTTGCCCCTGCATTGTATGGCACACAGCCACGGGCAGAGTGCTTACTGACTGGGCTGTCTTGTGATCATCACTGTGTTCCTTCTGCTAGTGCATTTTCTTCCCTCACCTTTGGGAGGTGCTTCTAATCCTGAGGGATACCTGTTTGAGGTGGCCCCCCATTTCCACAGACCACTTCCAACACTGGAAGTAATGCTTGCTGACTGTGGGTCGTAATGTGTTACGAGTGTAGGAACAGAAAAGACAGAACAAAAAGAGCATTTGCAATCTGGATTAAGATTCACAGCAGCCAGGCCATCCGCTGGGCCTTGCAAAGCTGCAAAATTCTAAATGTTAACAGTGTTAAGCTTTAAAGAGTTGTTTTAATATCAAGTAGCTAACACTGAGCTCAATTACTGTTTGTCATTGCCAAAACACGGCAGAGAAAAAGCAGCGAGAGGAAATATTGTCCTATACTGAAATTACCAATGGGGTTGCAATTCTGATCAGACTAGAACACCAGCTAGCCTCTGTGGCTCCTGCGCTGTCAGATGACTTTTCTTTCTTCTGTTTTCTAAGATTGTCTTCCTAAACATGAGCCAGATAAGAAGTATTTGTAGTTCCCCCTGGGAAGGATGAAGAAAGGTTGGGATTTACATGGTGATATTTACTGCTACAAATTGGGTAATGACGATTCCAGAAACTCAGTTCAGTAGCTCTCATCTAACCATGTACCCATACACCATTTATGATTTCCCAGCAGTTCTAGGTAATTTTTACTTCTTTCATTACCTAACCAACTACAAATTACTCTTCGTAAAATTCCTACTGAAAAGCCATGTAGGCCTGGCCTTCAAGCATCACTTGCAACAAGGAATGCATTGCCTCTCTTTGGATTTCCTGTTAAACTCATTTGAACACCCAAATAGTCGAGTTTAGCAGGAAAGACCAATATATTCTTCAGGAGTCCCTTTCCTCCACCTCCCCTCTCAATGCTCCCTCTCCCTGCCAGAAGTAGGAAGGCTGAATCCTGCCAGGTTTTCATCCTGTCTGGAACAGTACAGAGCACTATCAGCTTCCCACTTCTGTCCTGAACAGTGCCTGAACTTTGCAGGTGCCTGGAACAAGGTTCTGTGCTATACCAGAAGAATATGCACTGATAAAACAATGAGGCAATGGGTGCCTTTTGCAGGTAGATGACATAGAAGAGAGTGTGACTTTTGGCAGCATCATCCTTAGCGCCTCAGACTTCCCCACTCCAGTTTCCTTCCAGTTTTGTTTACCACGTGTGATTCTACCTGCATTACGGAGAAATGGACAAATAAGTGTAAAATAAAGGTAATTGTGTTCTGACTGGGCCTTTGGTGTGCCGCCTGCCTGCCTCGGTCATATACTGGGTAGCCCTTTCACTTCAGGTCAGATTTGGTTTTATATCTGTCAGGACTTCCAATGACACTTTGGATTCTGTATGGATAAGGAGCGTTAAATTCTCTGTCTGGCAGGTTTTTTTTCTTTTTACCTTAGATGCTGTGAGTCTTGGTTCACTGGTTTTGGTAGCTTTTCCCAAAACTTGCCCTTAACACGTGACTTTCCCAGGATCACACGAGCTGAGGCACGCTGCCCTGGTGTGACAGACAAGCAGCCTTTGCACTCTTTCCCTGGGGCTGAGGGGTTGATGGGAAGCACTGCTCATCTTCGCCAGCGGCTGTCACCTGAGCACCCGCTCACACCCAGACTTGCTTTTAAATAGATGGCTCCAGGTGCTGCACTGAGCTGTGCCTTTTGCAGTCTCAGCAAAGTTGGTTGTGGAAGTGGAATTTGTCTTATTGCAGAAGGAGCTGTTGAAGCCACCTGGGCCTTTACGTAGTGAAATTTCTTCCAATTCTTGTTTTAGGGCGCTATTAATGACTGCTGTCTTTGCTGCTGCTCTTTGAAATTTGGCTGTCATTTTGGTCACTATCTTTACCATCACACAACATGCTTCTTCCTGTACAAACAAGGCCCAGGCCATGGCTACGGGAGCTGGAGCTGTGGGACACTTTGTGGTGACAGCAAGGTGGCCAAGGACTAACTTGGAAGCAGCCACATCGCAGGGGTCAAAGGCATGGGCCACAAGAGGCAGGAGGGCTGCTGTGGGGTGTGCTGGGACAGACCACCATCAGGAACTGTGCTGGTGCATCTTCATTGACTGGAGGAGTCCTGCCTAGAAATAATTTCTTTTGGAGAAAAAGAAATCCTGCTCCTGCCTCTCTGAAGAAATCATCTGTGGAGTCATTTTGGTCAGATGAGTGCTTGTGAACAGCCTTTGTGGGAAAGATCTCGGGGCAGATGGTGCTTTTATGTGTAGATTTTGAGAATCATCCAAAGGAATCCTCTAGAAGTATGTAGATGGATGTTAAGGTGCCTTTACTATTATTATATTATTGTTGTTGTTGCTATTACAAATATTGTTTGAATTGTCTAGATTGGTACTGAGATTTCCCAGAACATTTACCCAACTAAAAATATTGAAATCAAGGAGAATTAGACACTTAAGTACTATGGAGGATTAAAAACACCTACACCAATCTTCAAGCATCCAAATACCACCACAAGTCTGGGCCAAGGCAAAAAGAGGGAATCTAATAGGCCATCTACAGATTAAGCAGGCTGAGAAGTAATTTTGATGAATAACAGAAATGAGATTCTGTGGGAATCTGAATAGGATTTTTTTTCCTGCATCTGGAAATGACTGTAGCACTACAAAATGTGTAGTACAAAATATTTTTTAAAAGCCCAGCCACCCAAGTGGTTTTCATGGTAATTTGTTTCAATCAGCGGTGCAAAGAATTATTGCTATCAGTAGAAGGAATAGGCTGCTGTGCTTACATTGTTTGCTCTAAAGCAGGACAAGAGCCACACCATCTTGATGGTAGTGATTTCATCAACAGGAGAAATACACAGCTCTGGACCCTGGTCGTGTAATTTTAAAAAGCTCTCAGTTTAGCTTCAGAAATAAGCAACCAGAACAGTCTGAAATTATATATTTCCACTCTCTGTACTATTTTAACTCAGCTGGGCTCTGAGGCTATGGTCCGTGTCCTGGCTTCCTCTCGACACAATTATTGTAATTCATTATTAAACTGTTATTTGTTTTCATTCTTTACACTGTCTGATGCTTTACAAAGCCCAGCATCTAGATTTATAATATGGAGAGCTCTGTTCCATTGCATTACAGCTTCCCCATAGTATTTTTCTTGGCATGTTCAACAACACAGTGATTTGGGTATTTAATTCCTTACATGCTATAGATTAACCCAAATCTATGTGCTACTTTTAAGTATTTCCTGAGCTTAGCAGTTTTCCTAACCCAAACTGCAATCCAACTACAAAGTTCTAGAATTATTTTAGTGCTTGTAGCCAAAATACTGTATCCAAGCACTGTCAAATTTGGATGTTCATTACAAGTCTGAAATGGCCTCTGGATCTCATTTTTGTGAAGTCCATCTTGTTTTCACCTGTCAACAAGCTACTCGAGGAATAGGTGAACTATTCTGTTTGTTGCGTGTCCTTGGGTACCATTTCATCTCTTGGAGACTTAAAAGCATCATCTGTCAGTGTAGCTGGGATGGGACTTGTAAGTTATGTGCCCTGTACTTGGCACAACTAATAAGAAAGACTGAAGGGAACAACAGCTCTGCTGTTGTGCTCCCTAATGCCTCTGCTATCACTGGTCTCAGTGAAGACAGCAGTGGTTCCCATGTGCAAGGTTCAATCCAGCCTCCATTTCATCTTTAAATATATTCACACTTGTTTCCTCTCAGCTCTTAGCAGGACTTACACTCAAACTTCTTACTGACAAATCCTAACCTTGGTGGTACTGCAGACCTTTATAGTCTATTCACACATTTTCTACCATTCCTTACCTTACTCCTCCTGTTTGTAAACCGCTCCCATTTCCTTGCTGCCATCTCCTCCTACTGCTGCTGTTTCCTACTTTCTTCTCCTACACTACAGACTCCCCTTACTCCCCTCCCAGGGCTTTCCTGTTTACTCCTTTCCTTTGTCGGGTTTCTCCATTAATATCCCTTTTATTTTCACTTTCTTTTTATTCTTTCTGCTTTCCTTTGATAGGTGCAAATATTTCCCCCCCTCTTCCTTCTCTTTTCCGTGTCTCTTTCCCCACACTTGTTCCTTGAAGCCTTTGTACTGATGCCCTCTTGAAGCTCCTTCTTTCTCTGTCTTAATCTACATTCCTGTATTCCACACTTGTAATTCTCTTTGCTAGCCAAGATAAGCATTTGTCCCCAGGAAATGTCCCTGTCCAGGCATGTCCCTACATCCTTTTGTTTTCTTCAGCTTTTGTAATTCTCAGCGCACCTGTGTGCCTGAAGAAGCCATTCATCAACACCCAGAGGCAGGCAGCTTCATCAGCTCTCTGTGCACAAACGTGCCTCCAGTATCCCTTCTTCCTTCATCCACAAAGACTCTGAAGGACCCCTTGCTGACACAAAGGCAGAGGCTGCAGGACACCAACCCGTCTCTCCTCGCTCATCTTCTGTCAGAGCACACAGACCTCTGTCTCCGCAGTACATGACTTTCTTCTGCTGGAAATGCACTGGGATTCCAGGTATGTATGTTTCAAAGCCACTGTTGTTCTGGTTTGGTATGATGTGAAATGACAGCTCACAGGATATATGAGCCTCTTGCAAGAATGATCAATACTTGCCAGAGTTTCCCTGCCTCGGTTTTCAGAAGCTGTTGTTTATTTCTGGAGGTCTCCAGGCTTACACTCAGCCCGTGCCATTCCCTACATTGCCATGCCAGTCCCCACATTGCTTTGCTGTCCATCTTGGCCTCAGGTTTTGCAGTTTAATGGTACAGTTACCTGTCAGGGCAAGGATTTCATGTGGGAACTGCGGATTGAGAATGAGCTTTTACATTGTGTGAATGGGTGACCCTCATTCTTCCCTGAGCACCTCGCTGCCTATGAGAACACCTGTGTACAGAGTTTGAGTCAGAACTAATCAGAGTTTTGTGAGCTGTCCCAGCTGCTCACAGCTAACAACAAAATGTGCAGGCAGCAGGCAAACATCATTATTCCTCTTGAAAGAGGTCTGAATGGCAAAAGAGCTACAAAGCTGTTGGTCTGCAGATATGGACGAACAGCTACAACTGGGCTAAGGTCTGTTCATGTTTATCCACAACAATGGGCGAAGAAACAAACTGTGTTTTTATTTTCCACTAGGAGGGCATAATCAAACAAATGTTCATCCGTTGCAAGAGCTGCTAAAGGTAAGATGTTTTCAAACTCTGTTTGTCCATTATCCTCCAAACCTGCCGTTCTCCATCTCTGTGCACAGAGCTGTGGTAGATGGTGGGTTTTGCACAGGCATAGAAGCTGGAGGCAGTACTGGCACTTCGGCTACAGGCCTCTTGGAAAAAATATCCAGTTCGTATAAAGTGCTTCCACATTTCTGTGCACGCAGTAAACGTAGTGGACTGAGTTTTATCTCCAGTTTAAGTCTGCTGACATGCATTAAGAAATCTGTGGTTTTTCAGGAGGAGTAATGTTTTGTCTTGTTTGTCTGCTCTGGCTTTGGAACAGTGTTGGTATGGTTTGGGTACACTCAGAAGACTGGCTTTCCTATGGATTTATGCATGGTGATTGAACTACAAGTTATGGAGGCACTTAGATACTTACTAGACAGTAGAGTTAGAGTTGTTTGGAAAGGAGGAGGAAAAGAGCAAAAACCATTTCTATGTGTATATGAGGGGGTTTATAATAGTTGGCTTTTCAAAAGAAATTTTTCAACCACCATGGAATGGCAGGGGGAAAAGAACAGCCCAAACCATGTTCTTTCTTCTGCTCTCCCAGTTCTTTGACCAACACCTGCTCAAACTTTGGCTTTGCTTGATATTATTCCTTGCTGTGCACTGTTTCTATAGGGCTGGGTTTAAGGAGATTTCCATAGGGTAGCATTAGTGCGATTAGTGGGAACTCTGCAACTTCCTGCAAGGCCCATAATGCATGCCATTCCTGGTACACAAAAGTAAAAACAAGAATTGCAGCTTCTATGTGAGCTGCAATACGAGTGGCCCATTTTCAAGAGTCTGTCTTGGATCAGTCATGGGCTAACATGATGGTTGCTACCAGCACGGCTGCCCTATGAGACTGCTGCTGGTGGAGCACAGAACAAGCAAGTTTGTGCAGTTTGCAGACACAGCGGGCATCTTTTTATGATATCATACACAAGTAGCAGGCAGAGTACGTGCTGTGAGCTCTGCCAGCCCTTGCCAGGGTGCGCTGTGAGGCCACCTGTGGTGTGAGTGTGTTATTGCTGCCCAATGGCACCCACACATGGTGCTGCTGTGGCTGTCGTGTGGTTTTCCTGCCATCTCTACGAGCGCTTGTCCTGCCGGGCAAACTTTCCAACATGGGTAGAAATGATAGAAATGTATGTTTGCACATCAAAATAGGCAATTTATTTGACAAACAGGCACGGAGGTGTCCAGTTATCCCTTTTGCTTATGCAAATACAAGTTTTCCCAGGCACGACAGCTGTGCCAGCACAGTGATTATTTCCATAAGGTTATCAGATTGTTATCAGGAGGGGACGTGCCTTGTAATAATGCTCAGGAGCATTTCTGAGGCATGGCTGGTGCAGATGTGGGAAGTATATTGACAGGCTCATGGCAGTTAGGCTCACAGCTGGAGCGGTGCAGAAGGTTCAGCATAGCACCTGGCACCGAGGCCAGGCTGGGGGAGGGGTTGTGACCAGTGGCCGCTCTCTGTCTGGTGTGTCTGAGGCTGGGATGTGCATGAAGCCTTCCTGCCCTGCTACTTTGAGCAGCAGAGCTCAGCCAGGCCCTGGAGATACAGTAAACCCTGGGGCATGGGTTGGAGCTTCAGGGCCTGGCAGAGGCCTGGCTGAGCAGCAGCCTTTGTGCCTCACCTGGAGAGAGTTGGTGGATTTGCACTACTACCAGGGCCCAAAGCATGGTCAGCTCTTGTGGGCATTGCAGACCTTTAGTGCAATAATCCGTTGCAAAATGTTTGAGACCGCCGCTGCAATCCCATTCCAGGCCCCGCTGCACACTCCCTTGCCAACCCCACTGCAAGTCCATTACAAAACCGTACAGAGTTGCACAGAGTAGCACTGTGAACCCCTTTGCAGGGCCACTGGTGCAGAGCATCACAGACCCCTTTGGAGGACTCTATTGTGCTATGTTGCACACGGCTTTTTAGGACCCTCACTGCAGGACCTGTCGTAGGACTTCCAATGCACAGCACTGCAGGACCGCCGTGGCACGGCACGGCACGCCGCACTGCAGGACCTCCCTCCCTCGGACGGCGTCGCGGGACCTGTCGCTCCAACGGCACTGCACACCGTGGAACACGCAGTTGCAGGACCTGTTGCACACCCCAGCAGGGGCCCCCGGCGCGCAGCAGCGCGCAGCACCGCCCGCCCCTCCCGCGGGCTCCCCTATGAGGTCAGCTCTCGCGGAGGCCCCGCCCGCCGCCCCGCCCGCCTCCCTCCCGCCCGCGGCCGCAGGGGGCGGCGGGCCGCGCTCCGCCCCGCGGCCGCCCCGCTCCCGCGTTCATTTCATTCCTCCCCTCATTCCGCGCATTCTTCGCATCGCTGGCGCCGCGCAGCCCGGCCGGGAGCCCGGCCCGCCCCGCCGCCGGCCGGGCAGCAACTCAGCCTCCGAGGGCTCCGTCCGCCGGCCCGCGGCCACCTACCGCCGCGGTATAAATAGCCGAGCGGCGGATCAAAAAACAGGCGCGGGGCCGCGGACAGCCGGGGCGGCCCGGGGGGCGGCAGGCGAAGTTCGCCGGCGGTGCGCGGAGGTAAGCGGGGCCGGGGCGGCGCGGTGCGGGGGGCCGGCGCCCCGCAGGTGCCGGGCGGGCGCGAGGGAGGGAGGGAAGAAGGGAGGAAGGGAGGCGGGCGGGGGCCGCTGCGCGCGGGGGCAGAAGTTGCGTCCCGCCGAGTTCGTGCCGCCGCGGGGCCGCGGCCGGAGCTGCAACAGGCGGCTGCCGCCCGCACTTAGCGCCTGAGTCACCGCGCGCCAGCGCCGCACACGCACACACACACGCACACACACACGCACACCGCCGCTTCGCACCGCTCCGTGCCGCTTTGCACCTATTTATCCGCGAGAAGTTGGCGGCTCGCGCTCCGCAGCCCCCGGCCGCGGAGCCCCTCGGGGATGGAGGCAGCGATGCCGCTCTCGCCGCCGCGTCTCTTCCACCGCCGCCGCCGCTTCGTCGTACGTTCGAGTGGAAAATTTTCGGGAGTCAGCAGAAACGTTGTATCCAAAAAAGACAAAGTCGCGGTCGCGGCAGCGCCGAGGAGGCCGTGCCCGGAAAAGTTGCTCCCGGTAGGAGAGGCGCGGAGCGCGACCCGCGGGGCGGCTGTGCCGGGAGCTGCGGAGGGGCCGGGCCGGGCCGCCTTTGTTCGCAGACGGAGCGCGTTCAAAGGAAGTGCGCTTCCAAGGGGGAGGGAAAAGTTGGACGGCGCGGCTTCTGTGGCAGAGACGGGACGGAATGGCCCCTCGGCGGCCGAACGAGGGCGGCGGGGAGGGTTGGGTCGGAGAAGGCTCGGCGGAGCTCCCCGCCGTTACCGAGTCGCGTTCCCGCCTCGGCCCGGCGCTCCCCGGCCGCGCTTTCTCCGCCCAGAATGCGGTCAGGCTGCGCCGGTACGGGGTCGAAGTACTTCGGAAACAATGAAACGGTGGCCGGCCGCGTTCCTCGGGAATGCTGCTAACTTGTGAGAAACTGGCCGTCTTAGATAACGGAAGCGAGGAGCGGCCCCGGAGCCTCCCGCGCTCCCGGGGTTCCGGCGCTGCCGCCCGGGGCGAGGCCGAGGGCGCGGGTCGTCGCCGTTCCCGACGGGAAGCCACGCGGCCGAGCCCTGGGGCGGCCGCGTGCCGACGCGGCCGTAGTGCCGCCGAGCGGGAGCCTGTTTGCTTTCTCTCGGCGCCGATAAAGTTGGCTGGTTAGCGGTCTGACGGAGCTGGGCGAGCGGATAGCGGGACGTTGGGAGGCGGGCGGCCGAGCGCCGGTGAATGCTCCCGGCGTTGTCGTGGCGCGCTGAGTGTTTGCAGCGCAAAGCGCTGCGGGATGGCAGCTCGTAGGGAACGCTCGGCCGGCGCTACCTGCAGCTGAGTGCGGAAACGAGCGGGGTTACAGTTACGTTAAGGGCTTAATTGAAATTAATGTACGATCCCGGAGTGGGAACGTGTGTGTGATGCGCGGTGCGTTCTGTCTCTATAAATAGCTGGGGAATACCGTTACAGGGAGATTGGGTTGTACCGCGGTAAGACGGGGCTATCAAGAATGACACAAACCTGTAGATTAAATTACTTGTTGGGGGGGTGGCGTGTTTGTGTGTGTGCGTAGTTATCCGTGTGGGTGCGCGCTTTATTTGGGAACAGAAATGCAGGAATTAATACAGTGAATGTTCCTAAAGCGCAGAATGGAACGTTTTGTGTGTGGATTCCATTCTAAGCTCAAAACTTCTTAAAATCGACTTTGTGAAGTGATTTTGACCAAAGGTCAGCTTTCAGGCCGCATTTACTTTCTGCCCCTGTGCCCAAACAGTGCCTTTTCACACTGCGCTACATGCTGTTAGCTCCGTAGGGCAACTGTGCTGTGTCTGCTGCAGCTTTCTATCATTTGACTGAGCAGAAATTCTGGCTGCTAATGATTTCTTTTTGTTTTCCTTCTTAGAAGTCCAGAAATACTTTTTTGGGAAGTACTTTGCTGCTGAGCACATGTTAGGTGTATTCTGAGCATCGATTTTTACATGCACTGCTTTGGTGAAGTAAATCTCATTTGCTTCTGCACACAGGAGAGTCTGGCAACAGCTCTCGAGTGGAATTACGGTTTTATATTCAGTGCTGAGCGGAATGTATGTGAGCAGAAAAGCAGGGGAAAAATGTTGATTTGATATGAGTCTTAATAAAGACAGCCTCTACTTAAAGGAGTTTTTTTTTTTTTTTTTTTTTTTTTTTTTTTTAAGCTGCTTTGTTAAAAAAGAGCAGCAAAAACTTAATTATGAGCCAGACCGTCGTGAGTCTCCAGCTGAGAAAAGATAGTGCGTTGTGATGTGCCTGGGGTAACTTGTAACTGGCTTGGTGGTGGGGTGCTGTATGGCGCCCTGCTGTTGGGTACTGCTCAAGCGGTTTTCAGGCTTTGTTTGGCCACGCCTGAAAAAGTTAAGCTCGGTTAAGTCACATGCAGAGGAAGAAAGGATTCCTCCTTCTTTTTAAATGACCCGCGAAGATAACGCTGTCAGCAAACGTTAAAGATATAGTGCAGGCACAAGTGTGAGAAGGGCTTCTGGAGCTTCAGAGACATTCTGGCATGTTTTGTTTAATAAAAACTGAAAGGTAAAAATATGTAATTGTGTGTTATGACATAACTGTAGTTTTTAATGTGTAACTAGCATGGCTACGCTGTTGGAACAACTTTAGTAGAAGTAACCTGATTTTATGAGAAGATTGTTTCTGAAACATGAAGATACTGTGTACGGTTCTGAATGTGTGTCTGTGAGATATCTTCAGAATATACGCGTGCATCTCTGTTTTTCCATCCACTCCTTCTTGTTGAAGTTAATGTTCCTGTTGTATCTTAGCAGAGATGGTTTAAAAACTGCCCGTCATTCTGAAGCGATCGCCCTTACCTCAGAAAGCAAAGATTTGTTCGATCCAATCCTTCCTCAGGTTAAAGTGACGGAGATGACTCATACGAATAAACATTCACGGGATCAAATACGAAGATATTTACAGTGTATGCTTTATGTACATGGTTAGCATGATATTTGATGCCTAAAGAAGGACACGGCTGCTGTTCTGCATCTTTGATTTTAAAAAGTATCAAATCCCATCTGCGTGCTTTCCTCAAGTTTTGCTAAGGGGGCTTGTTTGCTGTCTCACTTCTGATGTATCTGAAGCTTACAGGCACGATTCTGTTATAAGTTTGTTGCTGGTTCCATTTGTACTCTTACAGCATGTGCACACACGAGGTGCAGGCTGGCTGCTTGGGGCTGCCTGCTGCGAGTGCCGGCTAGCACTTTGACTTCATGCAGAAGGCACTGAGTTGGCTGTAGTCGGGGTGCAAATTGGCCCTTTAGACGTCATGTTGAAATTCTCTTCCGAAGGAGCTGCTTTAAAACACGAGAGAAACAGTAGCTGCTGCTTTCTGGGAGCTGAGATTTAATTACTGCTTTGTCCCTGTGCAGCACCTCACCAGTAGTGCCCGGCTGTTGTGTATTCCTGAGCTACGATTATTTACTGTTGCAAAAAGGTTAAATCAAAATTTTAGAGCTGTTAGGAGGTAAACGATCTCCCTGAGAGTAAGTGCTGGGGGGCTATGCGGCAGTTTATACAAGCACTGCATAATTTACATTGTATCCTGCGATATATGGATGGACGGTGCTACTTATTGTAACACCCGACGACTCCTAGCCACCCAAAGATTTTTCTTTTTAGAAGAAAAATCTCGGCAATAAATTCCCACTTTATGTCCATTTCTTGCTCTCTGTTCTTGCACAGAGCTCCTTTTGGTTTTTGCACATGGAACAGGGATGGAGTAATATTTCCTGGAATAATGCTCTGTTGTGTTTTAATGGTTGCTCGTTTCCAAAGCCTAAAGAGTGAGACGTTGCAGGTTGCAGTCCTTTGAGGCACCAGCGTGAAACCTGCCTCTGCTGTGTCGCACAGAGCTGAGGCAGGATGTGTCCTACGCCAGGCCTGGTTGCAGTGTGAAATGGCGGTGCTGCCATGGGGATCGCCATGCTGTTGGTGTGCCCCTTGTGGCTCTCAGCGTCGATGCGCATTCGGCAACTTGTATGTTATCTCTAGTTATTAAAGTTGCTCCAGAACTGCATTCATTTTCATACTCACTGAGCGAAGAGCGGAGGGGAAGGAGGTAATGAGCCAGGGTCTGCTTCCCAGTAGTGAATGTGGGGCCTCTTGCTGAGGAAGCGCATGAATGTCTCAGTGAGCAGCCCGCCATGTGCGCGGGCCCTTCCTTGTTAGCTGGCCTTCTGCACGTCCATCAAGAACGCGTGGAGAATCCACAGAGCTCGCGAGGGGTCGTTAGGCACTCACCCAGTTGGGGCATGGCTGCAGCCCCACGTCCTGCTGCGTCAAGCACGTTGGGTTGGCACCTGGCCCATGGAAGGCGCACCTACAGCTTGTCCTTCTTTGTCCCCTAGCCGTTGTGTAGCAAAACGATGCGATTCCTCCCGCTGCACCTTTCTGAGCTGCCCGCTGAGCTTTGTGGCCCTCACAGCAGCCATCTCTGAAGCTGTGAGTCGCAGATAGGCCGAGTGCTGGCGGGTCAGAAGGTAGAGTGTGAGACTGGGGGAAGGGAGGCCGGCCCGGGACTGTGTGTGCAGCTATTAAAGTGCTATTGACTGGGAATCTGAAACAATGACGAGTGCTGTTGTTTTTACAG